TTTTTTTTTTTGCTAAGCTGCTTTTAATTAAAAGATGAAACTTTGTCATATCCCACTAAAAGCAGGGGTTCCACACTGATTTGTGACCCATAAGATCAAAATAGTGGGTCGTGACTAAATTTTTTTTCACAGTGTGTACTAGAACAGCACAGAAAATGCCAGAATGTGTCATAAATATTAAGGTATTTTTCATGTATTTTGTTTCAGCTGTACCTGTGCCTATGCATCTGTGTATCTGGCCATGACACAAGACTATCTCTTGCTCTGTGTCCCAGTTGCAGAAATTGAAGCATCCTGGCTGATTATACCTGGGGCAGATGCACAAATCAATTGCTTTAGAGCAGCATATGATGACCTTAATCATGCCACAGAGTACATATCTCATCATACCCAGTTTTGTCTTCCATTGTCCTGTAATTTTCATTATACTTTCAGAAATAGCACAAAATGGTAAAAAAAAAAATACAACCTATCAAAATTGTTCCAAAGGATAATTTTTTAAAATTGGCATGCTGGGTCCTTAACATCTATGGTATTTTAGAAGTTCAGAGACCTCCACAACTCTGAAGATTGGGGAATTTTGCTGCCATTTTCCCTGCCAGCTCTTGGGAGAACTTTCAGAGGCAAGGCTGATGTCACTTACCTGGATGCTTCGAATACCATAGGTGCTCAATAGATGCTAATTTGTTGAATGACTGCGTACACAGAAGGGTTCCTAGCTGCCGACATTATATATCCATCTATCCAGCCATCCAAGCATGGAGACAGTGGGAGGGACCTGATGATACTGGAATATTCTACCTTTCCAACGATAAGAGAAAAACCAGCTTATCTGGTGGGAGAGCTCTGCAAGCTACTGGAACTTCCCACAACGGCACAAATGTTTTAATATGAATGAGCGGTGGGACTATTTCATTTACAGCATTTCTGTTTTCCATGGGGGAAAAATATAAGACCAAGATGACATTTAAATTTCCAAGTGGTACCGACACAAACAGGTCAATAATAGTGGAGGACCTGTGGCTGTACCGCAGCCGGGGTAGGGATGATCACAGCAGTGATCTCGGGTCATTGCTACACCCAGCAAAGGTAGGTGACAAGGAGCATTATGCCACGTGTCACCGGCCCCCGGGAGGGCTTTACCTTATTAATGAAGAGTGAGTTCTCTCTTTTCCCATATAGCAATTATATAAGAAATTAACCTTATAAGAACAAGATATATATTCAAAAATTTAAAGACATTTAGAAGATATATTTTTCCATATTTACATATGCCTTAAATATTTCAGTAGAGATCCTATACCACCTTTCCCCTCCACCTGACATGTGTCCTTTCCAAGTCTATAAGTAATTTTTTCCCAAGAATTTTAAAAGGGAACATAAATCCCACAGGGATTATAGACCAAAATGGATTTAACTAATTCCACGATGTTGGCTGTTTGGGGGGTTGCCAAGTTTGTGGTGTTACAAACATTTTCACACACGTTTTTCTAGCTAGGTCTCTGCTCATTCATGATTATCTACTCAGAATGGGGAAGTTTATCATTATACTGGAAAGTAGGACATGGCTATCTCCCCTTTCGACTTTCACTTTCCATTTGTACAGTTAATATGTGTTGACAACCACAATAAAGTTGAAAAACAATTATCTTGACCTTGGCCTTGGCCTTGACAATGGGACAGAACAACAGCACGGCGTAACCAGAGCAGGGAGAGTAGAACCGAGAGCCCAGTCCTCTCGCTGGCTGTGCCAGTTTAACTCCAGCCTATGCCCAGGACCCTGGGTGAATCATGGGCTATTCCTGTCCATTTGTTCATTTTAAAAGTGATGGAGAGTTGAGTGCATGCCAATAATCCTAGCACTTCGGGAGGCTGAGGCAGGAGGGTTACATGTTTGATCCCAGTCTGGGTGAATTAGTGAGACCCTGTCTCAAAGGGCAAAGGCCCTGAGTTCAGTCCTCAATACTGCTGTGTGTGGCGGAGGGGAGGCTTTGACTGTATTCTTTGTATCCACACCCCATCTCAGAGTGTGGACTCCATAGCATAATGGTAATATTTTCACCATGCTAGGAACCCCAAGGTAATTAAGCATTATTGGTTTAAAAAAATGTAAAGGATGTAGCTTACATTTGTCAGGTGTTATGAGAATGCCTCTCCCTCCCAGCAGGCAGCCTCATGAAGGAAACATTTCACAAGCTGCCCCTAGGATGCTTAATAAGGAAGCCAAACTGCACCAACAATTTTTATCCCTTTGGTACCATTGCTTTGTTTCCTTATGCTGACAAGAATGCAGTAAGGCAGGGAGACAAGAGTTCAGATGCTTGACCACTGACTGTGACAGCCAGGCAGTGCCTGAGCTTAGTTCTAAACTGGGAGCAAAATGTTCAAATTTAAAGTTTCTCTTGTTTACTACTAAACATCATAGAAAAAAGACAGACCCAGGAAATGGGGCAATTTCACTGCCACTTATGTACCTAGTAATAAGCTCCAATTTGTTAAAGAGGCAACAAAGAAACAATACGTACCCAACAAACGAAGGAGGAGAAAAAGAACTCCAAGGGCGTAAGACTTGAGTTCAGGGCTGACTGTCCTACATAAAGAGGAAAAAACAAGATTCTTATCACTCTACTTTCATTGACAGGCCAGAGTCACTCTTTGCTGTCCATCAGAGCCCTTCTTTAGAAAATTACTAATAGTTTTGTTTCTTGTTTTTTGTTTTGGTTTCCCTGCCCAAACTCTAAACATGATTGCAACTGCAGTGCCAAGATTAGTAAAGGAATTTAAGTGTTTTAATACCTGGCGCTCATCTTGTCATTTGAATACAAATGTGGTCAAAGTGTTCATGCGGAGGCACTTTGCTTTTGTTGAGATGAGTGTGCGTTTTGCACAGGTGGGGCACATGCACGTGGAAAACAGCATCATGGGGATTTGTTCTTCAGCTCGGCCCATCTGCTGGAACCGTGGACCCTTTGGCTGCAGTGTTTATGAAATTCACCGGGCTGGCATCTTTTGACACCCTGATGGCCATTTGGGAAAACCATGCCTCTGCATCACGTTATCAGACCTTTTTACATGGAAAGGTGCCTTTTTATAGTGATGTTTCCCTTTTCGCAACTGACTCAACTGCCCTGGCCTAGGTTTACCTACAACACTCCCTACCTAAGAAGGATCTTCTTTCACGTTTGCGCAATGTATTCTCAGAGTGTAACATTTTTCTGGGATGCAGAGAGACGGAGTGGTGAGTGATTCTAGATAGATGGGTCCATGCAGCTGGGAGCTCTATCTCCTTTTCAGTGCCTCCTTAACTTGTAACTAGTTTATTCAGCGCTCATCTTCTCACCTGGAGGCCAAGGATTCTGTATCTTGCACCACATAACTCATCCCTGCTCTGTGAATAGCACACAGCATGTGCTGAGTGAATGCAGGAGCTGTGGGTGGTCAGACAGACATCTCCCACTTACAAACCAGGGCAGCCCTACCGATGGATTGGTGGTGAAGAAGTGTGAAGGGAGACCTACTTGACCACATGCACATGTACTTCAAGTCATCTTTAGAGCCGCTAGCAGAAAACGTCCCCCGTATCTGTCCCCATCATGAGTCCCTCTGGCAGAAAGAGAGGGAAGCATGTGACCATGTCTCTAGGGGGCCTTGAGGAGGCATAGCTGATCCAGTGTGAATGAGCCTTAAGACACACTCAGAAATATTTCAGTGTGGCTAAAACACCAGACGCCCACACAATGCAGGGAGGGCCCAGGAATTGGTTCTGGAGAAAATAAAGGTTAGGAACCACGGTACCAACAGGGTATCCAGTACACGGGGTATGGAACCTGTGGCCAGCATGATGTTCTTAAATGATATAAGGGGCACCCATGCAGTGAGATGAAGAAGTGTGAAGAGAGACCTACTTGACCACATGCACATGTACTTCAAGTCATCTTTAGAGCCGCTAGCAGAAAATGTCCCCCGTATCTGTCCCCATCATGAGTCCCTCTGGCAGAAAGAGAGGGAAGCATGTGACCATGTCTCTAGGGGGCCTTGAGGAGGCATAGCTGATCCAGTGTGAATGAGCCTTAAGACACACTCAGAAATATTTCAGTGTGGCTAAAACACCAGATGCCCACACAATGCAGGGAGGGCCCAGAAATTGGTTCTGGAGAAAATAAAGGTTAGGAACCACGGTACCAACAGGGTATCCAGTACATGGGGTATGGAACCTGTGGCCAGCATGATGTTCTTAAATGATATAAGGGGCACCCATGCAGTGAGAGTGAAGAAGTGTGAAGGGAGACCTACTTGACCACATGCACATGTACTTCAAGTCATCTTTAGAGCCGCTAGCAGAAAACGTCCCCCGTATCTGTCCCCATCATGAGTCCCTCTGGCAGAAAGAGAGGGAAGCATGTGACCATGTCTCTCGGGGGCCTTGAGGAGGCATAGCTGATCCAGTGTGAATGAGCCTTAAGACACACTCAGAAATATTTCAGTGTGGCTAAAACACCAGATGCCCACACAATGCAGGGAGGGCCCAGAAATTGGTTCTGGAGAAAATAAAGGTTAGGAACCACGGTACCAACAGGGTATCCAGTACACGGGGTATGGAACCTGTGGCCAGCATGATGTTCTTAAATGATATAAGGGGCACCCATGCAGTGAGCCTCAGGTGTGCATGTCTGTGGCTTCAGGGTATGACAAAAGAAACTGCCTGTGTGCCATAGACTGAATATGTCCTCCCAGAGCTCACACATTCAAACCTACCCCTGAAAGGGATGGTGAGGCCTTTAGGAGGGGATTAGGTCTGGAGGGTGGAGCCTTCAAGAACAAGATTAGTGTCCTTATAAAAGATGCCCCAAGAAACCCCATCCCTTTTACCATGAGGGGGCCATGGTAAGAATTTGCCATCTTTGAACCAGGAAGTAGGGCCTGCATCAGTTCACCTGCCTGTGCCCTGCTTTGGATTTTCTGGTCTCCAGAACTGTAAGAAATAAATTTTCATTGTTTACAAGCTACTATGTCTATGGTATTTTGTTATAGTAGCCTAGAAAGGACTAAGTCAGTGGTTTTTACAGTCTTTGGTCCCTTTTCTTAGATTTCCAGGGAAAGCTAAATATGTGTTATTCTTGGAGAAGTACATATTTCTTTTTAATTATGAAAAGTACAGTATAGGCAGCATGTCACAGCTTTCATGGAGAGGACAGCATGCCTCTCTGGCTGTCGAAGACTGAGCCCAGTAATAACTCTGGAATACACCTATCATGAAATCCAAGTTACTCCATGTGATGAGCAGCTCCATGCCTACAGTTTTTACACATTCATTTGAAGGACTAACTTGAAAGATACATAATAAAGGCAAATTTTCCTTATCAAGAAAACATGCTGATATAATGAGCCAGAATATTTATCACTTGGAATTTGATTTCCTTTTAGCTATCACATCCCTCAGAACAAAGTGAACAAGGTGTTAAGATCTTTCTTCATATCCTATTAGGAAACTGGTTCCCATAGAAAAATCATTCTCCTTGGATCCCAGTTATGAAGAAAATGATGGGCCCAGTCTGAGTATTATTGCAAGTTTCAGGTAAGACCACAAATGTAGCTTAGCTTCTCAACTTATCGGCCAAGTGACCTCATATCACACTGAATCTCTTTCCCCACCTGCAAAGCGGGGGGACTGTGATCAAGAGGCTAAATAAAATAATTTAAATCAAGAGTCCAGAGCTGGTGCCTGCAAGGGACACAGCCAGTGTCAGCTTCATCTCTGCTCCTGGACTGAGTGCTGTCCCTTTGAGTGCGCTTCTGTCCAGCATCAGAGAGAGCCCATTGTTCTTGGCTTCAGCAAGGGCTGGTGTGCATCTGGGCTGAAGCTCAGACTGTCTGTGCCTGTGTGCCTGCCTGGAACACCTGGGATGGCAAATTAGGACTACGATAAGCCATGGTAAACAGCTACTTTGGCCTTCTCAATGTACAGCAGCATGAGCACTGGGCCCAGGTTATGGAGGCCGTATATTGTTGACCCATTGGAAGGGGATCACATACTTCCCGAAAAATCCCAGGAGCTCTTTATGGAGCTCAACTTTGGGAGCGATCAAGGTTTCAACAGATTCTCCTCATTTGATCTGCCAGTCACGACTTTCCAGGGTTAAGAGGTTGAGTTTTTACAGGGGACTCAAGGGAGGAAAATGTGGGAATGGTCATTGTTCGTGGTGGGGTAGTTCCTGCTTCCTGGTGCGTTTCACGTGTGTAGAACACAATACAACTTCATGAAAATTTCTAATGAGAAATAAACTCATATAAGGCAGCCACCCTAAACCTATACCGAAGATCTGATGGGTTTTGTCCATGTGCTTATTACATATAATCATCTTCCATATATAGCTTTAAACTCAACTCATTTCATAAACACTTTTCACATTCTTAAGAATTTTCATTATTCCATCAAGCTGCAGCACCATAATTTAACTCACTTTCACTTTAGGTGTTTCTGCTATTATAGTTAACGTTGTAATAGAATCTTTCTGTATTGGGCCTTTTCTCTTGTAGAGAAATATTTTCTAGACACAACTGGTGAAGGACGGGGGTAGGGTTACTGCATAAATGGGTCTGAATATTTTTATGGCTCCTGATTCACACTGCTGTATTGCTTTTTTGGAATGACTGATATCTTTTCAATGCCACCGGCAATATGTGATTTTACTAGTTTGGCCACAGCCTTGTGTAGCAGTGGATATGAATTTTTACAATTTATTTTTCAAACTTACTAAGTAGAAAATGGCAATTTGCTTATCGTACCCTTAGTGCTTTTGCACATTCACAAGGCCTTGATAATATAATATAGTACTTTGTATAAATCCCTCTCAATGGGAATTTATAACAAAGACCAGGAGCTGTGGCAGGCAGCAGGAAAGGAAGCCAAGCCTGAGAAGGCCGCCAGGGCTGCTTGCTGACATGGGATACGTCTAAGGATTCCATTCCTACTTTTCTTTCCAGCCCTTAGGATTGAATTGGTTTGCTTATACAGCTGTATCCCAACAAGACAAGTCTTTCTCTGTACAGAATCCTTTCCTCTGGTTCAGATGGATACCGGGGTATGGTCAGCTCATTTCTAGATTCTTCATAACAATCCAGCTAACTCTGCACACCATAAAAGTCACTCAGAATAGTGCTCATGCACAGTTGAGGAACCTCAGCTGCCTAAGGACAGGTGCCCAGAGAAAGGGAGTGGCAGAATCCCAGGGAGCTTGCTCCAAAAACCTGCGTGTACAACAGGAGCTGACACTCGCCTTCCACAAGACCTCTGGCACAGTCACCTCTCATGTCTCCATGGTGTCTGCACACAGGCACTCTCGATGCAAGTGGCAGGCAGGAGCGGTACCATCACCCCCAGTGACAGATACAAAAATGAGTCTGGAGCAAGACGTCCTGCCTAAGGGCTCCTGGCTGCACAGCTGCGGGGCAGGTGGCCCACGGGGACGGGCTAGTCCAATGGCACTTTCACTTCTCTCTGACAAAGCTGTTCCCTGAAAGCCTCTGTACCTGCAGAGGCTACTCCTGGGAGGACAGGAAGGTGGTCTTTTTTCCTTGTGTCCTGCTGCTTCTCTTGCTGTGAGGTTCCTGACTGAGAGATTGTATGGATTCCTGTTGGCCCGGGGTAGCTGTGTGCCTTGCCGTGGTGCTCTCTCGCCTGCCTTGTGAGGCTCACACAGCATAAAATGTATGGTCTCCAGGAGACGCCATGTGGACAGGAAGGAGGTCAGGCGGCTCTCAGGATCCTGGGCCGCGAGACCCTTACCTGATGAGGATGATGACGGAGGGCGTCTGGGCCATGGCACCGATCATGCTGCAGACGCACATCACACAGAGAAAGGTGAGGAAGGCCTCTTGGCACCCAGGGCTGGGGCATTTTCCAGGGACCACGGTGGCATTCTCGGGGGCGATGGTGGTGAGGCATGCACAGCCTGTGAGATTCTGAAAGGGAAGCATTCAGCCCTTTAAACTGGGGTCTCTCCAGGTTCCATAGCTGAACCCATCCATCAGCCGAACTGTCAAGACTAATTGTGCATTCCGTGGCGTTCCATTAATTAGGCCTGAATAAACGAGTTAGCTTTTTAAGGAGGCTGCAAAAACACATGCAAATAAAGGAATATTTATGGGGAGGAGAGTTGATTTTCCTGTCTCCTGTGTGTTTCATTTCCATTCTCAAGAATCCCTTAATAAGCTCCACTGTAGACAAATGTGTCCCCCCCAATATAATTAGAGAGGAAATCGCGCTTCCACAATATGATAAAACATTGCCAAATTAACATTGTAATTACTTGCCAATTTGTCTCCTCTTTTATGCAGTTATAATTACACCGAAATGTGTTAAAAGAAGTAAATCAGGTAACGCACATATGGTTGCTGGTTCAGTGCCTGACGTGGCACTGGGGACAAAGGATCTGCGCATCACGTATGAAGCCACTGTGCCCAGGGGGCTGTGAGAGGACGGAGCTGATGGAAAAGTACTTCAGTGGTGGAAAAAGCAAAGAGGGCTAAGAGATTCCAAGTGGGTTAGACTGGCTCGTGGGGAGCAGAGAGAAAGCCCAGTGAGACACACTCATTAATATATGATCAGAGAGGGGAAAGAGAAGCGACTGCATTCCGTTTGATCTTCCTGGTATGATGGCCCTGCTGCCCATTCCCAGGCGCGGTCCTCCTCCACGCTTCAGGCTCACTCGCTCCAGGAATCTCTGATGGCAAAGGGAGGAGCAGGGGCTGGAAGAGGCTGAGCCGAGTGCCAAGCCAATTAAGGTTCGATAATAATAGTGCAGAGGCCTTTAATGAATACAAAGCGAAAACAGTCATAAATGATTCATTGCTTTCCTCTCCCTGAACGATCAGCTTTCCAAGCACATGCACAGGTAAATCCTCCTGGGGGTCCTGCAAATCCCCTTGGGCTTTTCTGCTTCTCCCTCTCTGCCTTTCTCCCTTCCCCATCTCTTTCTCTTTCCTTTTGCAGATGACTTCAGGGGTACCCCAAGCCTTGCATGTTCCCACCCCTGTGGGGCTGTGCCCCATGTGGAGTTTGAATCTGCAGGGCAGAAATGGGGGCACATGCTGTGCGGGTCTGCCCAGAGCAGGCCTCTTGGTGGGAATAGCTCTGCTGCATACCTGGGGTGCTAATGGTGATTCTTAGCCATTGAGGCCCTACCCCTCTCCTTTCCCCTCTAGATTTCCTAGCTCTTTTAAAACTGGGCACAGATACTGCCTCCTATCTGAGGCTTCTTGAGGCTCAGCTGTTCCTGTCTTCTGGAGGCTCCTTTGAGGGTCACTCTCCACCCCCACACACACTGCAGAGACCCCTACCTGCCTCCTGGAGGGAGCAGGACAGTGGAACAAGAATCTCTGGGCCAAGACCCCCCTGCTTTGTACATTCTCTCCTGAGCACCTTTCCTGGCACGGTGCTGAGTAGCAGATGGAACCCAGCAGAGTTTTGGGTACGTAGGTATTCGAGTCTGCCTCTGCCTTGATCAGGAAGCAAGACTTCTTCCTACTCTAAGGCAAACACCACTCCTGCAAGCCTCACCCTCACCAACATCAAGGGCCAAACTCTTCCAGATGTCGACCTCGCTCCCCGTGTTTGCTCATTGCATGGCTCTCAGCTCACCCCACCTGGCTTCTGTCCCCCATGTGCTAAATTCTCGGGGGGCTGCATGTCCTCTATCCCACCATCTTCTGCTGTCACTGTCACTGGAACTCTGGTCCATGGTCCATTCTTTGGCTCCATTGCTCTGACCTCCCGGTTCCCTTTTCTCTCTCCTTGTCCATCTTTCTTGCTGGCACCTTCTCCCCCTTCTTACTCTAAAATGCTTCAGCTGCTTAGGGCTCGTCAGGACTTACCCTGCTCATTCCCTAGGTCTCCTTTGCTTGTTTTACCATCTCAGCCTTGCTCATGACTCCCCCTAGACCGACCCGCTAGTCCTTGTCCATCTGGGATTATGTGACAGCCCTTCCTGATACCTGAGCACACACTGAGGCAGCAAACTAAACCTGGCCAGTCAGCTGGCACCACTCTGCTGAGGCTGGGAGCTGGATTTCCCTTTCCTGTGTGGATGACAGTGGGACAGGAGGAGGATGTGGAGAAATTTAGAAAGTGGGAGTTGTAGGAGATCAGACTATCGCATCTCAAAATATGCCTCTTTGGCATAAGGATTATTTTGAGTTCATTATCTGGAAAAATTAGAGATATAGGAGAAGCTCTGACAACAGAGAGATTACTATTTTTTCAAAAAGGAAATTCACACTGAACTGTCAGTAGTCCCTTCATGACCAAGGAAGACTGGGTTGCAGGCTTCCCAAAGATAACAAAATCCAAGGATGCCCAAGCCCCTTCTATAACATGGTGTAGTAGTATTTGCACAGAACCTATGTGTCAAATCATCTCGAGGGACCAATAATACCTAATACAATATAAATGCATTATAATGTCCATAACTGTTAGGTTGTGTTGTTTAGGGAATAAAGCCAAGGGGAAAAAAATCTGCATGTTCAGTACAGATGCAGTTTCTTCTGAAAATTTTCAGTCTGTGGTTGGTTGAAGTCACAGATGTGGAGCCCATAAATGTGAAGTCTAACTACCTAAAAGGGAATCTTGTTTCTTCATTTTTTGAAATGAGACACGAAGTCTCACTGTGCTGCTTAAACTGGTTTCAAATGCCTGGTTCAAGTGACAAGTGACAAGTGCCCTCTGTCTCAGCCTCTGTAGCATCTGGGACTACAGGTGTGTGCCATTCTCCTGGCCTTGGGATCTTGATTTGAAGGGTGTCAGCTCCCTGTCACAGGAAGAGAAGCATGATGCAAGTAACAAAGACTCCTCTTTGTGGAGAAAGAACCTACCTACAGTTGCATAACAGACCTCCCTTGCTGATTGTACTTTTTCTGGTTACCTGCCCATAAATGGTCTCTCCCCCATACTTCCGGTCTTTGTTTCAGCAGACGATGCTTTTCAGCCTGAATCCCAGGCTACCTCTTTTGAGTCTGACTCATTTTTCTGGAGGTACCCAAGTTACAAAACTTGCTTGTTCATCTCTTGTTAGTCTATGCTCTGTTACAGGCATCTGTCCCAGCTAAGAACTATGATGCTCTGAGAGGTAATCACTTTCCCTTCCCTACAAGTGAAGCAGAGGTGCATCCCTACCGACCAACAGAGGCCCCGTGCCCACCTCGAGTGACCCGGTTCCCAGATCTCACACACATGCACACACACACACGCTCAGCTTCTTGGGCTTCTCCCATGATCTCTGACCGGCCCACCTAAGCTGGTACATCCCTGCTGTCTCATCTCCCTTCTCCCAGACCTCACCCTCCAGCTCCTCCAGGTTCACATCAGCTCTGCTCCCTAATGAAGCTCTTTCTCTCCAAATCCTGTGTGGTCAAGGGGTTGTTTGGCAGAGACATCCCCCCACCAAGGCCCAAGATCCTTTCTCTCCCAGCTCTTGACAATGGCACCCCATGGACTTGCTAGAACAAGGCGGTAATTCTGACACCCTCACCCCTACACCAAATTGCTCTTCCTCTTGACCCAAAGGCTAATGAGGACAGAGACCATTGCAGTTTTGCTATCTAATTCATCTCCAACTATACAAGGCAGGGTTGGGTTCATAACAGGGATTCACTAAGTACTTTGAACACAAACACATGCCCTGTTGTTTCCAACAATGCCCCAGTTTAACCCATTCCATCCTCCTCCCTTTGACCACTGCAGTAGACTGGGAGGAAAGACACTTGATCCTGGGGTCCTTAAACCATGTGTACTCAAAGAGCACCCAGTTCTCAAGATGGAACAGGACCTTCTGGGTGGCTGTGGTTGTGTTTGCACTAGTACCCCAGGAACTGAGTTCTTACCCACACAGCCTCTCTGAACCACTGAGGAGTAGGATCTGGGTACTGGAAGTCAGTGATTAGTTCAACACAGATGTCAGAGTTTGAGACACCTGCTCTCACTCCATTTTGCCAGTACATAGAACAGAGGCTCTGGAAGCTGCCTGTGGACCTCTATGGCCTGAGAAGTGGCAGATCCCTGGCAGTTTCCATGATGGCTAACTTTTAGGAATGAGCACCAGACTTCAAGTTCCTTTATGATCTCTGAACTGGCAATGTCCTATTTCCCATCCTTGTTTCTAGGCTATGTATTCACAGTGGCAGGGCTGGACTCTGCCTGGCATCACGTTTTAGGAGGGCAGGACCTAGCTTTCCTGTGAAGAAGATGTGCTATGAGCCCTCACATGGGTGATCAGACAAATGCTGTGCCCTCAGAAGAGGCCTGAAAAGCTGGCTGACCAAGAGGAGAGGAGGCCTGGAGTGCCAACTCCACAAGAACTTATCCAACATGGAGGCTTGCCTAGCATAAAATGACACAGGGACACTGAGTCACAGTGTGATTTGTAAGAGCTGGGTTGTTCAGTAATCAGCTCGCCAGGCTCTGGTTAAAAGATTCAAGTAAGTCCACATGAGGGAAGGAAGATCATACAGTTCACAGAAAGGCAGGACAGCACTCTATGGATGAACAACATTGAGAGAACTCCAAGGTGAGCTAGTAACTACAGCTCATAAACCAGCTGAGAAGGCCTTACATGTACAGTAAAAAAAAAACAAAACAGAACTCTGAAATCTAAAATCTGAAACTTTTGGAGCACTGCCATGACAAAAATGGCACACGTAACCTCGTGTAACGGCTCGTAGTCAAAACCCAGGCATTCAGCACAGTGTCTTCGGCACCCCCAAGGGAGAAAAAGGCCCTCGTAGCCCCCATCTGCGGCTGTAATACGACATGAATATTACGTGACTTTCTTATGCACATGCAAAAACTTTAAAATCAGAAAAAAAAATCCTAAAACTGAAGTTTCAAAGCAGAGATTTTTGGATAAGGGACACTGTACAAAAAACCAATGAGGACAATATTCATTTAGTAGGTCAAGAATTGGGTCCAG